CGAGCAGCCGCCTCATCACCCTGTGCAGACCGGTCAAAAAGTTTGATCATTTCCTCCCTGAAGTCCTCGAAAAAGTGGCAAAAGGGTGCCCTGGCATCCCAAACAGCGGTGCTCCACTCACGTGCTCTCCCAGTGAGCAGGGTCAAGACGTATGCCACCCTGGATGCCTCAGAGGCATATCGGCGGGGCTGTAGGGCAAAAACTAAGGCACACTGTGATAAAAAGGCCCGGCAGGAGTTGGGGTCCCCATCGTAGGGTGGAGGGTTGTTTGCATGGGGCTCTGGGTCATGATGGGGTGTGGTGGGGGAAGAAGAAGCTTGCCTGGGTACTGTGACGTTGTGCTGGAGCTCCTCAATTCGGGCATTGAGCTCGACCACTTGGGCAGTGAGCATCTCGACCTCTCTGGAGGTGGTGTTGAGCTGGGTGGCGTGCTGGCCCAAAAGTGCACCTTGTTGGGCGAGTGCATTGCGCATCTGGTCAGAACCTGCTGATTCCATCTTCTGACCGGGTCGTTCTGTCATACAACTGTCAGTATAAAAAATCAGGAGGAATCAAATGCAGGGAAAAACAGAATTATTTATTACTAAAGTGGCCTGCAGAGGGGATATTATACAACAAAAAATTCTCAGCACAGGGTGCTGTAAATGCCACAGAAAAAGCACAAAATACTGGCAAAAAAATAAATAAAGAAAGTTCAACAGAGGGCGCTCAGCGATCCAAAGTCGCCAGTCAAAAAGGGGCAAAAACGGAAGGTATAATTACAGGCAATACTAAGTGCTTCCAGCAGGAGGCGCATGGCAGTCCAACTCTCAGTCAAAAAACAGGAAATGGGTAACTCAGGTGAAGGGCAATATAAAGTGCTTCCAGCAGGAGGCGCACGGTGGTCCAACTCTCCAGTCAAACGGGAAACACAGCAGTATCAGCCGCCGAAGTGAAAGCGCCCGGGCGGGATACAAGGCGGCCAGAGAGGGAGAAGATCGCTGGTGGGCGGGATAGAAAAGGCTGAAGCAGGAAGTGGAGAGGGAAGCTTCTGCCACAACTGATAGCAGCGAGGGCGATCTGATAAAAGGGGAAAAAACAGGAAACAGTCCAAACCACAAAATCGAAATCAAAAAAAACTGGCACTGGAGTCAAAAATGGATACAAGACAGGACACGATCTAAGAGGCCACCGCGTGAGGTAAACACACTAACGACCCGGTACAAGACAATGACAGAGAGGAGAATAAATAGGGAGACTCATAAGGCTAAGACTAGAGACAGGTGCGAATAATGAAATAATGATCTAATGAGTAACCTGATAAGTGGGTGGAGTGAGGCAGTGGAGCACATGGCGCGCTGTCAAAACAATGCCATGTGCTACGAGAAAACAAACACGAATGACTGTGACAACATGCAGGTGACAGACCATGACAATCATCATATTTCCACACTTTTTCAGTTTCAGGTTTCTGCTCAATTTTATGTGGTGCTGCATTATTTAGTGGACTCTGATTTTGTGGTTTATTCTGGTCTTTCACATTGTCAACAGTGCAGTCCGGCGAAATGACAAAGATAGCTGATCCTGATTGGCTCTTATGCATGCATTGGAAATGCTGATTGGCTCAAGGCAAGGCAAGTTTATTTATAGAGCACATTTCATACAAAGTGCTTTACATAAACAAGAATAAAAGAAACAAGTAAAATAAAAATAAAACAAATAATAAAAATGAGTAAAAAAAAAACATAAAAACAGGTAAAATGTGATATAAAAGAATGAAGAAGAAGAGAAAGAACCTTATAGAGTTAAGCTAGAGTTCGACTTTATAGATAAACCTTTTTTGCTTTCTAAATACAAAGCCTTAAAATGTTGAGAATTTATAAATAAAATGCCACAATGTAAATAAGTTGTCATTTAATAAGAATATGTGAATAACTCAGTTTTGACAAAAATGTCATATACAACCTTATAATTTCAAGGTGATGATATAAAAAATAGCTCTCTGCTTTTGCTGCTATTACACATGAGTTGGAAGTTTTTGACCAGTGTGTAGACTGGAGTATTATTCAATATTTTTGTCTCATACTGATTAATATGTCAAAGTTTGTAATTAACTATAAAGAGCACCAGCAGATCCGCTACTGGCATTTGAAGCAGTCAATGAAGTATTGAAGGTATCGCCACTAAAAGACCTTTTTATGTTGTTTGTCTTATTTTCCTGTCTTATTTTGACTTGCTCCTGAATCCACCCTTACTATCTGTCTCTTTTTTCTTTATATTTGATGTATAATTTCCATCCATACTCCAAGCATTGATCGACGTCTTCAGTATTCTTCAATTTTCTAGTCTCATCTCAAGCCTTGGCAAATAACTGAGAAAACAGCAATGTAGACTTCTTACAAAGAATTTTATCTAACCAGCCAGGTCAGAGGTAATGGAGAGCTTCTGAGTGGAGGATTAGAAACGACTGTTTCCTGAGTTATTTGCCTTTTTTATCTTTTGAAGTGAATTTCTTTGTATGTAAGCTGCCAGTTTGGATGTATATTGTACCATTTTAAAGCAGTTTTAATAAGACTGCTGAGATTACACTCAGCCTTGGGTAAGGAGCTAAAAACAGATTGTACTTTAACCCTCTACTGCGCGCAATATAATAGATCTATAAACAAAATTGACATTAAAATTGCTTAAATAGATTCTTTTAAAGGTAATTCCAACAGTGGGTCCAACTTACAAATGTCAAATTTAAAAATTTCCTTATAATTAATAATTTTATTGATTGAAATAATTTAATCAGTGTTGCAGTATTATAAGCTTTAACTTTATTAACTTATAAATGACACCTTATACATACTTTCCAGCAGCTGATATTCCAATAGCTTTCATTTATAATTGTTTTTGATTAATATTACTAAAAAGCTAATATTTTATTGCCACGTGTATATAACATACAGTAAAGACAAATATTTTCTCCAGTAAATATTATAACAAATAAATAACAAGTGTAGTATATCCAGATACATCAGAATAAAGTAGCTACTAGCTAACAATGTTTATAAATTACACTATACTTTACTACGCCTGTCTTATCTGCCTCAGAGCTAACTTACTCGAACTGTCTCCATCACTGCTCTTACCAAATGTCCAGTCTGCATCATTCTCATGGTCATTAAAACCCATCTCATCCTCACTTTCATCTGCAGGAAGAGCCAGTTCTGTCCTTTTCTTCTTTCACTTATCATTGAACATGGTGGTGCTCGCTAATACACTGTTCCCTGTATTCATATCTATTCAAAAGTAGTATTGCCAGTAAAACTAGATTTTATCCATAATGCAAATGTCATTAACATACACCTAATCAACAATACATTACTAGCATTCATGTTGTTATTGTTGCAACTTAAAACTTCACAGCTGAACCTAACCCTTGCTAGCTAGCTAACCCATTGCAATATTGCACGCTCCACTATTCCACAGTGTTGGCACTTGGAAACACATACATTTAAACGATTTACAGAAAACTTAATTGATTAAAAAAGATTGAGTAGTGAATATGTCATCGTAACTTACTGGAGGTGATGTTACAGATTTCTTTGTTGATCTGACATGAGTTGATGCTTTGTCTTTATTGACGTTTACGTTTGCATTTAGCAACTACTCACAATAAACGCCAGTCTGCCAGAAATCACGCCACAGAAAAACACTGCATGTCATGTAACTTAACCAAAACACATCATTGGCTACACTAAGGTCTTCTCTTTCCAATTAAAACAATTCAATGTTGGTCTTAAAGAAACAGTAGCAGGGAAATGTACATAAATATGTTGCCATATGGCAACACCATGCGGTAGAGGGTTAAGTGTGCAAAAAGCCTAGAAGCTGTCTGATTTTTGTATGCTCGAGATATTGAGATATCGTTCAGAATTGTACACACACACACACACACACATATACACACACACACACGGAAATTTTCTTAGTCTATTTCTTAAGTTAATCAGGTTATAACGCCTATATGTATGACACAGTTAATGATGTTACGTAAGAGTGTGATTGTTGATGTTTTGAGATTTTACGCAGCATGGCCGACAAACTCTGTCCACTTTATTTTAGTTGAATCCCGTTGGTCCCGCGACACAGTCTTACATCTGTTAATTGTGTCTTGGATTTTAAAACTCGAAAAGGTCAACTCTAGGTCATTCTCAGCACTGGGTAAATCTAGCTTTTTCTTTAACACTGCTTATAATTTACTAAAACTGAGTGTTGAGGGAAAACTGATCAAAGGTTAAAGGTCATTTAGGCCTTATGCAGTTTCAACACTTGTTCTGGAATAAACCAATTTTCTTTGCTTTTCCAGCAGAATGGCTAGTGTCTGTCCTCTAGTGGCCTCTGACTGATACTGTCTGAATTTACATTTTTATTCAATCTTATAGATGTGGAAGTGACAGACCAGTAGATCTTGACTTTATAGGAACTTTTTTTGGGTGCCTGAGAGGAAAATGACCTCAAAGTTATTATAGAAGAATAAAAAAATGCAGACTGTACAGTATAAACATCATTACTTATATATCCTCTTAAAGAGATAGGTACAAGCCTCTGTGTGTGTGTGTGTGCGTGTGCGTGCGTGTGTGCGTGCGTGCGTGTGTGTGTGTGTGTGTGTGTGTGTGGTTGTATGAGAGAGAGAAAGAGAGAGAGAGAGAGAGAGAGAGAGAGAGAGAGAGAGAGAGAGAGAGTCTGCACAATCCTCTTCTTACTTTTTTCTACATTGTGCTTTAATTACTAAATTTGTTCACAATTTCCCAAAACTTTGCTCAGTTACAGTCACATCAGTTTAAAAGTGTGTGTGAGAGTGTATATGTGTTTAACTGTCTTGATGTTTAGGTGTTCAAGTGATGTGTTTAAGTGTTTCATTCACTGCTGTCTGCTTTTTCAGTATCGTGGCTGGTTTGATGTGTTTTTGATGAAAACAGGACTGGTGCGACAGTCTTTTTTATTCATGTTTTTATTTACAAATGTTTTCATTGTTAAAGCTGTGCCCTCTTCTCAGGATCTTTTCTTGAGGCTTGATCTTTTTTTCTGGATCTTCTGTTGTTGCTGTGACCTTTTTTTAGGATTCTTTGTTGCTGCTGTGTCCTTTATTAAGCTCTCCTGTTGAATCTGAAACTTTTTTAGCGTCAGGAACTGTGGTGCTCAGTAGTGCAAATAATCTTTCCCATCCATTTGCACTACATTCCTTATTTCTTATTCCTTGACCTAAAACATACAGACACACATCAAATCAAGGTTATTGATTCAGATTCATCACAATAAACAATTAAAATGTACAATAAAAAAACATTTTCAAATGAAAGGAGAATCTATTTTCCTAATCATTAGAAGCTGATCTACAGTTCAGTACCTTAAACCATTGATGGAGAATGATTTCTTCCAGAGGAATCCGCTGGCTTGGGTTTTCCTGCAGGAGAGCTTGAATCAAGTCACAGCATTCTGTGCAGAACGATGGTGGGAAGAAGTGAGAGAAACACATTATCAACTTCAACTTTACATCTGCTGTCATTTTATTCATCTATAAGATCTGACTCTACTCTCCTTTAGAATCAGAACATTGTCACCATTATCCAATATCCAACTCTTAGTTTTAATACATGATTTTGTATGATTTAAACTACAACTGCTCGTCTATGATGTGATGAATGACGTCTTACCTTCTGACAATCCAGGCTCAGTCCAGTTTCCATCATCGATCCTCTGCGTGTCCGTGACTTCAGGAAATCGTTGACACAGCAGCAGGAATAACAGAACTCCTAAAGACCATACAGTGGATGGTTCTGCATGGTATTCGTCGTCCAGGTAGTACTCTGGTGGGAAGTACTCCTTTGTGCCTGAAGGAACAAGATTTGGTCTCAGCATGAAACACTAAAGCATGTTTTCTCTGTAACATGAAAATACATGATTGGTCAAATTGACAGTCCAGACTACAGGTGTTAAGTTTAATACATACCACAGAAACTGTCATAGCCAGATTCCTGGAGAAGAGCTCCACAGCCAAAGTCAATTAGCTTGACCTCAAGCGTGTCAGTGTTGACCAGCAGGTTCTCCAGCTTTATGTCTCGGTGAAATACCCCACGTCTGCAGCACATGAGACCGGCCGTTGTTGCCTGCTCCATGATCTTTTGAGCCTGGCGTTCAGTGATGGAGCCGAGAGACATTATGAAGTCGAACAGATCTACACAGGGTGAAGGTCGTTCCAGGATCATGATGTAACGATCCTGCTGGTCCTGCCAGTCCAGCAGCTCAATGATCTCTGGAACCTTGCCGCCTCTATGAGCCAGTATCAACAGGCCGATCTCTAAAGGAAGGGGCTCAGGATGACCAGCCTAGAAGAAAGATTAGTTAGGCGGTGTTGCTTCCCCAAATATACTGTTGTCAGTGCCTTTACATCTTTAAGTCTACTTACGATGTTGATGTATTTCATGTTCGGTGGCTTTCTGGCAATTTTTACTGCCACCTGTTCAACAAAACAACACTTCTGTTATAATCACATCAAGTGCACTAAAAAGTGAACATAATATATGTCAAAGGGATTGTTCACCTCAAGGCCATCCTCCAAGCGCTTCCCTTCATAGACGCTGCCAAATCCTCCCTCTCCAATCTCCTTGCCGAGTTCATACTGGTCCAGAATGTCACCTGTTAAAAGATGAATAATTGCAGCTGATGTGAAATGTCAAGCTCTGACAGACACGTGTGTAATATTTGAGGTGGAATAGACATATGCCTATATTCAATAATTCAATACATCGTGAAAATAAACCTACACAATACTGATATGGTGGACACTTCAAAATACAGCAAACAGTGATTGAAACTTTTAGAGTGCTTTTTAAAAAATATATTTATATTTACAGAACTTAATGTAATGTACTCTACTTCATCCTGAAGAGGATCATGAGAGAAGGCCACACATTCTCAAATGACCACTAGATTTACCTTCAGAACTCTTCTTGTGGATCTGATCAGGAGTCTGGTCCTCCTGACTAGAGCTGCTGCTGGACTTCTGGACTTTACAGGAGAGCAGCTTTTCAGGACTGTCAGTCCTTCTCCTCTTTCTCTCACTTTCCTCAGCAACATCAGTGGACTGAAGGCTGGTGATGGATATTGGAGGTGTACGAGGATGGAAATCGTTCACATGAGAGCTGTGACAACTTCGTTTTCTCTTTTGGCCACAGAGAAAAGTCATCCACTGGTTGTCATCTGTATTTAGAGATGTAAGACATGCATTAATGATAATGATAATGGCTTATAAAATTGATTTGTATTTTGATGTAAAGTGTAAAGACACACTTCATCTTAGAGATCAGAAACAGTCATGAATTGGGTTTCTTATAGTGAATGCTCATAATTTGCCCTAAACAAATCTGATTCATACACATTTTATGCCCATTATTGAGTCCATTGAATATTGATATTTATACCATTTTTATATTTCAGTGATATTATTAATAATCTGCAATTATTTAAATGATTTATGTACAATACAGATTGTTGTAAAGATTTCTCTTTAACGGGATAAATTATGAGAAAATTTGATTACCAAAACAATTGGTTCTACTTAGATTTGTGTTAGAAACCTAAAACAAGTTAAAAAGTAATTTTTTTATTGTATGTGTTCAGTTTTTAGTTACTTTACTCTCAAAATCATTCCTCATAAATCTGCAGACTTTTTAAACAAAATTCTCAGCAGAAATAGCAAAACAGAATCTGTCTGGGCCTATATGTACATGTACAGAGATCTAGTGAACACAAAGCATGGTCAGATTGACAAACAGTGACTGGATTTACCCTCAGCGTAAAGGGAGAGCGGCTTTTCAAAACTCTCCCACCTCCTCTTCTTTCTCACTTGTATCTCAATCTCCTCACCAACACCAACGGGTGAATGGTTCTCAGCCACATTGGCGCTGGATGTTGGAGGTGTACGAGTATGGAAATCATACACTTGAGTGTCTTGAGAACAACGCTTTCTTTTCAATGCCATAATAACAGAATTCACTAGGAAAACTACTATTACCAACTGCAATGAGAAGACGCAATGAGGAGATTCTGAACTCTCTTCTACTTTTAATGCTGCGTTCTTCTGTTTCTATGACAGCGCATTCCGGAACACTTGTTTACATTCAAAATCTCAACACCATATTTGACAAGCTATCTAAACTAGATATATAATAGACAGACACACACATTCACACACACCTAGATGATTATAAATGAATCATTGTAAATATGCTGATTATTATTGTTTTTATTACTGTTTTATCCTAAAAATGTACAGTTTATTCTGATCTATTTTTGTAATTATTTGTATGAATAATCAATGTTGAATAATAATATAATATATTGAATATTAATGTGATATATTGAAGAATATGATGTATTGTTGATATTTTATTTAATTATTATAAATATCTTTTTTTGTTGCTACTACTACTATTTACTGTACTCTACTGTACTGTTTTGTTTTTTATTATATATGTATGTTACTTTTTATGTAAACTTTATAACTGCTCTGGCAATACATTTGTAACAATTGTCATGCCAATAAAGCAATTATTAAATTGAATTGAATTATAAGACAGACAGTTAGATACAAGCTTTAATCTTTAATCTTTCACTTTTCAATAATAAGGAACAGTATTTTCACCACAAATATCTAAATAAATACAAGAAATAAAATTGTAAATACAACACCAAACTGATTCTGAAACATTGTCCAGAAACTAAATAAAACAATGTCATTTTAAGATTAGATAGATTTTATCTCAAATAATTTAGCTTCAATTGAAGAAAATAATATTAAATGTTGTAATTGCTAACAGAACAAAGTCAAAATAACATTATTAGGCCTACATTTAGTCATGTGACGTATGTGTAAAGAAAAACAAAAAACTAAAACTAACATTATTATCCAGTAACAAAATGAAACAAAGTAATTTTAAGCTTAATTTTATACAGTAGATTTTAGCTGAAAATAAGTTAGGTTTATATTTATATATGAGCAATTCCAGTTTTATGGATGTGACATTTGCAGTAAAAACTCAAAACATAAATTCACATAGAAATATTTGTTTAACACTGTATTAAACTGTTTATATTTTCCAGAACAACTGACCACAGAGTTATGGGATCAGAAAAATATCGTTCTATAAACATGTTTTGTACTATAAATGAAAATACTTTGTAGAAATTCTGTGAATTAAACTGCACGACCCAAAAGAAGTAATGATCATCAAAATGATAAGAGTTGGCTCTCTATAAAACAAAAATGATTGATTTTATTTTATGTAATATTTTTGCCTTTTGCCTAGTGTCATTATGGATGTGACCGATGTGGAATTGCCACTTGTGTGACTTTGGTAAATCAAATATAATTGTTTGAAAAAGCTGACAGAGACATTTTTGAGCATTTTTAAAGTTCTGTAAAATACTTGCTTAGACAAAAAAGAAAAAAAGAAATCCGTATTTTGGTGAAAACTTAATTTTTTTCATGGCAAGGTTGACATTTGCATGAACTGTTCTTATATGTCATATGTAAAAGCATTAAGACTATATTTAGTGTCATCTTTGTTGGAGAGAAGAATTCATATAAATCCTGTAACGTGTATATGTGAAATATATATAGCTATCACTATTTTCTATTATTGTTGGAAACACTCACATCTTATTACAGTAACTCGATGTTTTTCCTGCAAAGACAAGTATGAGGGAGGTGACCACCTCTATCAAATTTTGTACAACCTCCACCTTTTAACAAAAATCAGGCAGGCGATCACTACTGACAGACCCTAAGTTATGCTCAAGTGCTGGTCATGTATTTAATTACATTTAATGTTAACAGTTTTAAATAAGATCATGGTTTGATGAGATTCCAGCAATAATACAAAATGTGTTTATTTCAAGTAGCAAACATTTCATCATGACTACTAAATGAATAATGCCTGAATAGTGTCATGTGCTCATTCAAAACTTTTAATCAAGCATTGTCAGCTGTAGTCACCAAGCAGTGTTTAAAATAGTTTTGTTTGCATTTATGTCTTTAAATTTGTGTATGAAATATTTGACCTCTCAGATGAGTGTCACTTTTACCTCAGGCCAGGCCCGTGCAGAGACTTTCGTCTTTTCCTCTCTGTCTTTTCAGCTGGATGGCTTGATAACCTCCTCAACCCCTGTTGTAAGTAGAAGGTGGGAGAGCTGTGTGAGAGCTCAAATGTATTAAAATAAAATACTATATATAATAAAATATTTTGAAAATACTACAAAATGCTAATTAAAGGGAGCATGAAATGTCTTCACAAACCTTCTATCAATAGGCCTATTGGATCAATCCCTTCACCATTAAACTGGCTTAGTGTAGTAAACCATGTTTGACAGCAACAGCGTTTCTCTGAGCAAGTTTAAGTCAGCTTCTCTGTCGACTCATTCACGTCTACTAAACATAAAACATGTAACTTTTGTTTCTCTTTGATTTTAGTCTAGATTTTACACACATTTTATACAGAAAGTATTGTCTTGAAGATGATCCCTTTAATGCTGTAAAAATCATTCACAGCACATAATGAGTTGGAATATGATACTAAATCTCTTGATTGCTACCATCTCTAAAAGTCTTATATTTCAACATTTTTGCAGTTGAAATCTTCAATACTGAATGTAAAATCATGATTTCTGAAAACTACTAAAATCTCCAGTTTTAGTAATTTCTATGTTTCGTTGCAATTGTACTCTTCAACACACAATATAAAACATACTGTACTGTACATGAAGTATACAAGAAGACATTTACAATAGGGGAGCGCAGGGCACAAAGTAGCGTGGGGTTAAGTGTAACACAGAGTTTTAAGGTATTTGCTCAGGCTTGATCATGGCATTTTTCCGAGGTTTTTATCACAGTGTAAGCAGATGTCTTTCTGACATTTATTGAAAAAGTTTTATGAAATTTTGGATGAGAAACACAAGAGAAACCATTTTTGCAGCATAAAGGTATTTTTTATTATAGTCAATATTTTTTTATTTAAAAAATCTGTAAAAGTATGAACGTGAAATCTTGTATTGTTGTGATCACCGTCTTCTAGGCTAAAAGATAAAACCATTTTGAAAGATGTAAGAAACACACAGTGACTGCTAGCCAGTTTTGAGGAAAACATGACACAGCGGGGTTAGTTGTAACAGGGTGTTAAAATTAAGCCACACACTGTTGAACACCAATTAAACTAACACAATATTTTTTTAATTTTGAGTGTTGAGAACTTTTTAAATAAAATGAGTTTTAATGTATATATATATATGAAATATAATATATATATATATATATATATATATATATATATATATTTATATATATATATATATATATATATATATATATATATATATATATATATATATATACACATTTTTTTTGATAGACAAAATTTTTTTTATTGCTAATACTCCAAATAAAGGCATTGTATAATAATGGATAATTATCCAAATAAATTCAAATGTATTTATCCAATAAATAAATAAACATGCTGTGCAATGTAGAATAAAAATAAATTGAGCTAGGTACTGAGAAAATATAGATATTATTTAAAGTAAACTGGATTTAAATTGTGTGTAATCTGCCTTTTTAAGCATGTGTTACAACTAACCCTCTGTCTGTAACAACTTGCTCCGCAGGTGGGGTAAATAGTAACATTTTTACTTCTGGCACTTTTGGCAACACTGCACAGAAACCAAATGTTTGGCGATCCTACTTTCAGTGCTCATTAGTAGGAGAGGCTTGTGTTTTGTTGGTAAATAACAAATGGTTTGTCTAACCCCAATACTTCGTTTATTATTTGACCAAGTGTTACTTTGTGCCCCGCTCTGCCCTACTATCATTCATCTATTTACATTGTTACAACAATGCAAATACAATGTTGTTACATAATAATTATAATGTAATGACATAATAATGACATCCAAACTAAAAGTTTGTAATTACATATGTACTGTGTATATTTATGTATAAATACGCAAATACTGTACATGAAATACACAAATAAACATTAATAAATGCAATAGCAATGTACAGTTGAAGTCAGAATTATTAGCCCCCCTGATTATTTTCCCCAATTTCTGTGCAACGAAGAGAGAAGATTTTTCTCAACACATTTATAATCATAATAGTTTTAATAACTTATCTATCTCTAATAACTGATTTATTTTATCTTTGCTAT